AAAAAAAAAAAAAAAAAAAGAAATAGGAAAGTTACGATCGCCGATAACGAACCGTTCATCAACGATTCACAGAATGGCAGTCTCGTTGTGACAGATTTACGCGTGCAGGACAGCGATCGAAGTTTATACCCTGCGCGCTGTGTGTATCTGTCGGAGGTTAGGAAATAATCGTATTTCCGGTCTCTCCGGAACTCTTCCGTGACGGCAGAAATTACGAGTGGCGCGAGCAACTTTACTCGACTCTTCGATCCTCCGTTTCCGGTAAACGTCGTTAATCCATCGACCAAGAACCGCCTCCTTCCGGCAAATTTCGTTTCAAATATTTTTTTCCCTTTTTCCTGACGATCCAGGCGAGGTTTCCGGCAGCGTAACTCGACACAACTCGAGTCTCGTGTAAATTCGCTCGAGCAAGCGTACTTACGGCGAGTTTCACGCGAAGCGTACACGTTTCGGAAAGCGGATATCCGCAGCGAGTTTCGGCGCGTTTAATCGGGAATATGTCTCGCCATATGTGTCGCCGCTACTTTCGTCGGTTCTTGTCACTGGCCGTGTACGCGGGAACATCGTGTGCCGACATGAACGTCAGGTCCAAGGTGTACAGAGTGGAAAGAAAAGTTTGTCCGCGACTGTCACAAATGAATCCTATACCTTCGATTCGATGGAAGCACTTGCCGCAAAATTGACATTGAATTTCAAGATCAAAACATTTCTCCCCCTTGCATCACGAGAGTAAAACTTTTACAAGGAACGGATAAGTGCTAACAGCGACTTTATAGTTCTGAACGCGTGAATATCCAAACGCGAGGTTTGATTTCGTGATGACATTTGATTCATCAGCGTGAGTCTAAATGATCAACTGATAAAACTAACATTATTCGAAATATAAACATTGGATATTCACGCGTTCAGAAGCATAAAGTCGCTGTTAGCACGCACACATGTCAAGAAACTTCACGTCGAAGTAAATGCAAGCGGATAACTACATTGGAAACAAACCAAGTTCAAAGGATTGAATTGACAATCGTAAATCGTACATGATTTTCTCATTATTTCTACGTTGTAACATCTGGAAATTCAGAGTCGCGTCGATCGTGCACTAGTTTCTGTCGAAGACAGTGACCACTTCGAGTGAAAAACTCATCGGAGATGAGAAATTAATTCACGGATCATTACGTCGGCACATTGAACGATTCCGTTCGAATCAATTGCCCGCTTGGCGATTCGAATGTTCCTGAGGCGATTCTACACGGAGAAAATATTTTGTACAATTCACGGCTCGACGATTATTCGGGGTAACTATTGGCTTCTCGAGCAGCGCGTCTCATATTTTTACGAGCTGCCGGGAAACTTGCTCTCCCGCCGATACAATCTCATCAATATTTATGCCCTGGTTACATTGGCTGGCCTGAGCCAAGGATCCAGCTCCAAACTTCCCCCGCAGCCTCGCAACAATCCTCGTCGATCGGAATCCTCCCTTATTGTCCACCCTCTTGAGAAAGATACGGGCGAGGGATTCTGCTCGTGAAGCATGCCAGCAATGGAGTTACGTCTCTGAAACGACGTCCATCGATAAGTTTCAAACACCGGCGTTATGGCCAAACTAGCGTTTCGTCGTTCGCCACGTCGAGAAGGAGGAACGTTGTACGAAAACTTTCGAGTAGCCTGACCCCGGTGCTTGATATTTTTCATCTTCGAGCGGCTTATTTCCAGCGTACTCGAGTCACTCACGGCGCGTTGCACTTTGACAGATACTTTTCAACGCGAGTTTCGAATCGTCCGGTGGCTCCTATCGTGTTCAAAAGTATCCGCGTCTCTTAGGACGAATTACAGTTTGTCTCACAAAAGCGTACTTTTGGATATCTCTAAGAAGAAAAAGTTGGTATGTATTTGCAAGAAATTTAATGTGTGCCCATGTCCCTTCTGTTATCGATCATTTTTTGAACCAACAGTTTTGAAACAGGCACTTCTCCATATCTTTCGAACTAAAGTCTCCAATTTATTCAAAATACTTGCGTTTTGAAGTCTCATTAGTAGTTTTGAAGTTTAAGTTATATTTAAATTTTCCTCTTAATTTTTGCTTATAATTAAAGAAACCATACATTTTCTATGGGGTCCGCATCGGGCCAGTAATGCCATTCTCTCATTTCCATGCGTTTCTTCTTCTCAACAAAGCTTTTGTCTTTGTACCCTTCTTTGTCTTGCGTAAAAATTTGGCAGCATTTTTAAAAAGTCATTTTTGGTCACTCTGAATGCAAACACGGGAAACCCGCTTCGAATCTTCGCTCTCGTTTCGTAGCATAATTCTTTTCTTGATTGATGACTGTGATTTGATCACACAAACTGATGTATTATAATCAGAGATAGCAAACTTCTGCCGCGTGAACTAAAACTACTTTTTATACTATATATTTAATTCTAGCAGCTACAATAAAGAAAACAATTTATATGTACACGCGTACATCTAATACGAGTGTTGTGGTCGTGATCTTCTCAACGCAGCGGAGAGAGATCAGTGCAGTGGAGGGGATAGCGGTCAGGAAAGTGGGGGTAACGGCCGCCAGTTAGCCACCTCCGAATCTACAGATTGATTCCTTTCTTTCGTCCAAACTCTCGACGATTTTTTTCTGGATTTTTGATATCGCACGAAAACAACAAGGGTCGGGTATTGTTACGTTGCATCGGAACAACGAGCCGAAGAGAACGTTTGACATTATAATATTTCGTGCGTAGTTAATTTTTTCGAACGATAATCTATGGACGAACGTGCAAATTCTTGGACCTTGGACCTTGGATTCTGTTACGCGAAAATATACGAGTGAAGACAAAATAAAACTGTCGATTATTTCGATTGACATTATACTACGTTGTAAAAATCGAAAAAAAGATCGTGCGTGTAGGATATATGCATCAGATTATCGCAACTTCAGTTATTTGATAGCAACTTTCGTAGGTAATAGCTCCTGCGAGACAGACAGGGGGTCTCGAGGGGTCTTCTCTCTCGTTCATCGACTCGCCGGACGTCGTCTGAAAAATCTCGAGGATTGAATCGTCGAAGACGATTGGAAGTACGCGTTTAATTTTCCAAGGAGCGGAGCGGAGTGGGCTCGAGGAGCTATGAGACTTCTTAACAATTCGGCTGGCAAGGGCGCGACTGGTAATGGAAATGCGAAAATCTTGTTCGTTTTTCATCCCCTCTTTGCCGTTCAATCGGGAACGAACAGTAGGCAGGACAATTGATCGAAGTTTGCGAATCGTTACGACCGTTTCCGCGCTGCATAAAATTGGATAACCTCGATTCGGCTCGGCTTCGTTTGACGACGAGTAGGCGAACGATCAAGGCCGGTTATAAATTCGAAGCTAAATAAAAGTTGTCGAAATGGAACGATCCGATTATCCGAGGTTTCGCGGATAAATCAGTAATAACTGCGTTCTCGCGTTGATGACTCTCGCTGATTCTTCTCAAACGAAGTGATTTAACGCTCAAGATTAAACAAAGTGGAAGTCGAGCTCTCCACTCAGTAAGAATCTCTTCAATTTCCCGAAAACATTGAAGTTGCATCGAGAAAAACACTGTGCGAGGCCGTAAGTAATAAATAAGTAGACTGCGGATTTTCATGCAAATTCATACCTTTTTGATTTAAAGTAACTTAAAGAGTAGAATCTCCATGGAAAATTGTTTGACACGTGTCAGATATTATGAAAAATATTACACTTCTTCATAATATATAGGGTGGGCCAAAAATCACTCTCTGATTATTGAAATAAATCTGTAATTTTCTTATTATATATTTTCTTTTAAAAAGTAACTTTTAGCACACCTATACTTGCAATTCTGTGCAATTTCACGGTTTTAAATTTCCCGCAAATGCGTAGAAATCTAAAATACAGTCTAGCGATAAATATGCAAGTGCTTATTATTACGACGAGCAATACGGTGGACAAATCGTTTAGGTTACGTTAGGTCATCGTTGACCCCAGTGTTTTATGTACATTCCAACATTCGAGAAATCGATAGTTAAGCTGTTAAGAAATCACACAGCGATGAATCTGCTTTTAAAGCGCGAAGCTTTCTACTTTCACAATCCTGGATTCATTTTTCACAAATATGTATTTTATGTCACACAGTAAGGGGAAACGGAAATGGTTACAGATTCAAACGTCTCTCGACGAACATTGAAAAATTCTTCCCGTGGATTTCAAGATTCAAGCTTTCCCTTTATAATGATCCCCTAAAATTTGCCGTGCAATTTCTTTTCGTCCAGCTATCGAACTTTGAATACGAAAATCTTCCCCGAACAAAGGGGAGGCTTGACGTTTGAACTTCATGGTGGATTTGGTCATCCGCCGAAAAATATTTTTCAATGTTTGGACTTGCAGCATTTACGTGAAAAAAACAATTCAACGAAATATTCGAAATTTAAATATTTAAACGAAAATATCGTAAAAACATTTTTGTGAAAAACGAAGCCAAGATTGTTGAAGCTTCACGCATTGAAACCAGCCCAGATTCATCGCTGTGTGATTTCTCTTTTAACACTTTGGGTGCCATGTTATTTATCCCATTTTTGGACGATCATAACATTATTTATCCAAATAGAAACGATTTTAAGTGCTTGCTTCTAAATAACGAAGTCTTCAATTAATATTTCAATCACTCAGCCAAATATTATATTTATAAATGCAAACCTCTGGCAGTCAAACGTCGACGATTTTTCAAATATTGGAAATTTGACGTACGTTTGGT